AAGCAAGGCATTAACCAACCTTTCCCTACACTCCTCGTTAAGTTACTTATTTGCCATAATGACCAATGCATATTTTTCTCTGAATGTTATTAGCAATTATGTATTCTCCTTTAATGAATATAAACCAATTTAAATAACTTACAGCTTCTATCAAAGCACATAAACTGGATTTTACAATGTAGAGCAATTTATGCGACAAAGCCAGCACTCTGAAGCAAAGAAAAGGAGTACTATAGAAATGAATGTGCGACTAAATAAAGGATGCTACATACATTTTTGGAGCCAAAAATCAGCTCTCTCTATTTTTATTTTTATTTATCCTGGAAAATAAAAGTATGCTGCCATAAGATGCAAAGACAGAAGGAAATTAGCATAACTTAAAAGAAGATCTCTTTTACTGGTGGCTTTAAAAAGGAGAACAAAAAGAATCCCAACAAATGACATGCACTGGTACACAGAAATATTACGTGCAATTAAATCCTTTTGTGTAATCAACAAATATTGCTGCTGAAGTGCTGGAAACAAAAAGAAAGGGAAAAAAAACAAAAGGGAAAAGGATTCTGGTAAGGCATGAAATAGAGCACAGCTACAACTCGGTTGCCAAGTGAAAATTCATGTAAAAAAAAATCTGTCAGTGACACCATGTATCAATATATGACAAGCTGCTACAGTGAGCTGAAAGGCCCTTGAGGCAACAGAAAACAGGTAGGTCAGAAGCTGCATGCACCCAACCTCTGTTTAACATTTACAAGGGAACAGAGCACTGTATGGAAGAGATATATGTTATTAATTATCTTCCTATCTTGACATTTCTGCTTTTAACTGCAAGTTAAACTGATGTGACAAAGACCTGATGTTTAATTTAATCTATCTGTTAGTAAGATCTGGCACATTTAACATTTTCCATTTTCACAAGATTTCATTTAAACTTACTCTTAGAGTTAAGATCAGCATTTGTTCTAAAAGAACTGCTTCTAATCTTCTTTGGCTTCTACCAGTTCAAGAGAATTCAATTTATTAAGTAATGCATTTGAATTGGTTTCCAAAATACATTCAGAGTTAAAGACCACATACACAGAGGAAACTGTAGTCTTTTTAAGGCTGGAGGTTGCATTACATGGAAATTAAAGTTTTGAAATATTTCTTGCTTCCTTTTACAGCTGAGACTAATACACTCTCATTCATATTTGTTACTTTAAAAGTGACACAGAGAATAATTGTTGAAACACAACAAGAACCTTCATTATAAAAAAAGTAATTGATAGTACAGCATTATTGTGGCTTCTCAGGATTGTAGGTACCACATTTATTTGCATATTATATCTATAGTGTACTTAATTCATATTTGCATCAAAAAGGCAACACATTTTTATTCTCCTTAAGCCCATCCACTTTTATTGCATTAATAAATAAATGAAGGCCTGAATTTAAATTAATCCTCATACCAAATTTATTCCTTTTGAATTCTGAAAAGTACTCAAAGGTATCAGAAGATATCATAAAGTATCATGACCAAAAGGAAAACAATCCAAGACTTGCTCAATTTATTCTATTCATTCATCTTGCTATAGACCAAAACCAGTTTAATGAGCAAGTAAGATAAACAGTACAATGGCAGGCATCCTATGCAGATACTAAACATTTCAACTATTGGCATTTGTAAACCATAGAGGGTGTGGCCATCATAAATTCTCATATCAGTAATAAATGCTACTTCTATGAGCCTCACTACTTTAGAGAAGGAGATAAACTTTCGTTTTTGTCTTAAAAAAAATATACAAACCCACAAATTCCATCATGAAAAAACCTTTATGACAAATATGATAATATATTATGATTAAATATTCCTGTTATGCTCAAATACATAAATCACTGGTGAAATAATATGAAATACTGTACTTTTGAAATAAATAAAGTATCTATTTTCTGAAATTAATTTTGAAACCAGAATATGGAAATGCAGTGTTCTAAAAGTCTATTTGGTTACACTTAAACTATTAATCTTTGTTTTACAGTTGAGTTACACAGCAACTCTCATGGCAATAATATACACAATTTAGAAACAGAAAGTTTAATCTATAAGTCCCTGTAAGTACTATACAATCTAAATTAACTTAAGAATTGCAA